ATTTGCACTACCGGGGACTCCACCGCCACCACCGGAAACTTGGAAAACTGATCAGTGAGACCGGTTTCAAAGGCGAGAACCACCATTGGTGAATTAGCTGCACCCCCCTACACACACTCCCTTATCACACTCCACCCCAAACTTTCCCAATACCACAGGCCTGTTTTTCGATCCTTTCATGGGGGTGACAAACAGTTTGTGGTGCAGAAGAACTGCGAAGGATTTGGAAGGACCCTGGTCCTGCTAGAGGAAATGAGAATATTAATGAATTACCAAAGCTGATGAATTCACCCAGAGATTCTACTTCTTTTAATAGATTCCAGAGAAGCCAACAAAGGCAGCCCCAAAGATGGGCGCTCAAGGAGGTTCCTGGTGGTCCTAATTGCAAGAGAGGAAGCTAAACACCTAAATTCGGGTCACACTGATCAACTCTGAATGGAATACCAGTGTTGTGCATAGCTGTGCCTCAGATGGGAAGTGTGGCTCAGAGAGATGCCTACAACCTACTGTTTGTGAAAAAAGACTAGAATGGGGGCAGGGGGTGCACAGTAGTGCCTCTTACATGCTAAGAAGCTCATCAACTGCTCCTGAGGACAAATGTGTGTGGAATTTAAAGTTTAAATGACAAAGAGAGAATTAGGCTACAGATAAGGACCCCAACAGGGCACTCACTTCAGGGTGGGCCTCCTCTTAGAGGACCTTCACCTTCTGGAGTAGGACAGAGGGATGATGGGTGACAGCATTCAGAATGGCGGCTGCCTCCGGGTGTGGAAGGTGGGAGTTGCTGTGAAGGAGAGTGGAGAGCACTTTAGGGAGTGATGGAAATGTTCCAGATCATGATGAGGTGTGGTAGTTTTGAGCCCTGGTGGTGTATTGGTGACACATTGGGCTGCTAACTACAAGGTCAGCAGTTTGGGACCACCAGTTGCTCCTCTGGAGGAAGATGAGGCTTTCAACACCCATAAAAAGCGGCTGTCTTGGAAACACCCAGGGGCCATTGGTCTCTCCGCTACAGGGTCACGATTGGTCAAAATAGACTCAAGGCAGTGAGTTTGGTTTTTGAGATGCATTTGTGTGAACTCATCGTGTTACATGTTTTCATGCATGCCCGTGTATGTCATTTGCACCTCAAAAAATGTCAATGAGAGGCAAAGAAGAAGAAAAAAGGCGGGAGGGTGGGGAGGGGGAAATGAGCTGATACCAAGGGCTCACGTAGAAAGAAAATGTTTTCAAAATGATGAGGGCAACATATGTACAAATGCGCTTGATGCAATGGATGCATGTATGGTTTGTGATAAGAGCTGTAAGAGCCCCTAATAAAATGATTTTTTTTTAAAAGTGGAAGGTAATTGCCAAATTACTAACGGGGTGACAGCTGGGAAGAGGGTTGGGAGAAGAAAGGAGAGTGATGTGGGATACGAATTTCATTTTCTTCTTCACATTCTTGCTTAAAAAAAACACCCCAAGCTCTACAACAGTGGTTCTCAACCTTCCTAATGCCCC